TAAGTAATCTCTATCACTTGCAATATATAATCTATAAGAGGCCACATAGCCTAAGCGATCCTGAAGGTGATGTTTTTTTACCAAGTGACATTAATAGCCTTTCTAACTTGCGTTACATGAAATTTCCCGAAAATAGTTATATTTCATCAATATATGGGATTGGGAAGCTAAAGTCTCTTTCAGAACTATATATATTTAATCTTAGAGATGTGAGTGGTTATCGAATTGGGGAGTTGAAGAATATGACTGATCTTTATAAATTAGGAATCAATCGCCTTGAAAATGTTAAGGATGGCGAGGAGGCTCGTAATGCCCAATTATGTGAAAAGAGGAGGCTCACAGATTTGACCTTATGTTGGAGTGATATTCACATTGATTCGACGAACAAATATTTAGATGAGAATGTGCTCGACAACCTTCATCCACCAAAATGTCTAAGGAAACTGAAAATAGAGAGATACATGGGCGCAAGGTCTGCAATATGGATGAACAATGTCAATTGGATCTTCAATCTAGAGGAAATCGTATTGTCAGATTGCAGTGAGTGGGAAACTCTTCCTTCTTTCGGGCATCTTCCCTTCCTCAAGTTACTGGAACTTTATGACATGCCGAAAGTAAAATGGCTCGAAAGTAAATTTAATGGGAATGATAGATACCGTGCCTTTCCATTGCTGGAGAAGTTATATATTGGGAGATTAGAAGCATTAGAGGATTGGTTTGAGGCAGGAGTAACTGCTGAAGAGGGATGTTTGTTTCCTTGCTTAATTCAACTGTATCTAGTTGACTGCTCGAAGTTGAAAGAGTTGCCCTCTTTGCCTCCTAAGCTCAAGAGCTTGGAGATACGATCTACTGGGTGGAAGACTTTGAATTTTTGTAGCAATTCAAATCCTATTCCCCTTGAATCATTAGAGGTCTTTGACTGTCCTAACATTATATCTCTTCCTCTGGCTGATGAAATAGCAAGACTTGCAGCACTAAGATCCTTGACAATTAGATATTGCCCTAATCTGATCTCTCTGGGAAGATATCGACAAGTGGAGGACACTAATAATTGCCAGCTCATGCTCAACGATCTTCATATAAATGATCCATCCGTGTTGCTAATGGAGCCATTGAGAAGTATCGCCTCCTTAAAAAGGCTTATAATTGTGCATAATGATGAGGTGGTTTCATTTCCAAATGAGTTGGAGCAGTGGTTTCTGACAGTTACGTCTTCTCTTTCTTACCTGATAATTTATAAACTCAAATCCTTACAGTGTCTCCCTTCCACCTTCGAAAGCTTTTCTTCACTTCAGTATCTACAACTTTTTGACGTTCCTATGCTTCGGGAATTGCCGAACCTTCCTCCCGCTTTGAAACGTCTAGAAATTGAGGGATGTCATCGAGAGTTAAAGGAGCGCTATGGAGAGGACGGAGGCTCCGATCGGCACAAGATTGCTCACATTCCTGATATCTTTATTCGTTAATGAAAATTCCAAAATACATATGCAAATTTCTTTCTTTCTTCTTATGTTATTTGTTTGATATATATGAAATGTGAAGAATGCAATCTCAGCATGAACCACTTTGTATGTACTCAATTTTATTTATGTATCATTTCATGGTTCTTTTATATACTAGTACAAATGTATGTGCACATGGTACACATGAATAAAAAATAAAAAATTAAAATATATAAAAAAAAAATTAAATTTAAATAATCAAAAATATTAAATTATATAACATGTGATTTATACTTGTATTATATTTGAATTAAGATAAATTGAATTACATATAGCATATTGAAAAAATTTAAATAATTTTTTATCATAGAATACACACTTCGCTGCCGTGTGATTAGCATTCTTCATTACTGAATGAACAATCTTCTTACTAGTGCATCATAAATAATAACAAGCATTTGATGGGTGACACTACATTGGTTGCATGAGAAGAGAATTCCAAGCTATCCATGATGCAGCATGCGAAAGGGGTGAAAAATTATTACTTTCTCGACGAGTAATTCATATAAAAAATGATTATTATAGTTTACTTCCAACACATGAAAGAAGCTAAGTAAATCACTAAATTCTACATAAAGAAAATTCAAGATCTACGGCCTAAATGCACGTGAATATGGTGTATATGAATAAAATTTTAAAATAAGAATATTCAATGACAATTTCTCGACCCTAAGGCAATCGAGATCGGTAATTATTTTACCAACTTAATTTCTCACATACAACAATATTATTAAGTAGCAGAAGATGATCTACCAAGATTTATTTCTTTATTATGAGAAAAAAGTATAAATGAAAAAAATGCAAATATAAATAAATAATAAAAAACAAAATGCTGATGTTATATAAATATATTGAAAATAGAAATCATGTACGTAAAATATAATGAAAATAAAATCAACTAAGTACATGAATCGGCATACACAATTTGTACATTCAGGCCCAAAAACATGGTCAAAACATTATCTTTCTCTTTGTTTCTGTTTTGAATTCTGTTAAGCTAATCCTTGGAGAAATATATGTGCAAAAGAAGAATCAATAATCACATTCTATCTTAACATGCATAAAATCAATGAAAATTTTTGATAGTAAAGTGCCTATCCCACCTTGTCATCAATAACTCGAATACGATTCCTATTTATGCATCAATCTGCTTCAGTCAATGGTCTGCATTTAACTGTCACTTATCACCAACAAATACTATAAGCAAAAAAAAAAAAAAAAAACACATTAATAAAAATAAAAACTCAACACTTTTCATCCGTGCTTAAGACCTGCATTAGCAGTTTTAATTTTTTTTTTATAATATTACTTGTAAAAAATTTGTTGGATTTGTTGTGAAACATTGTGCTATAGAAATTGTTTTTGAGAAGAACAAAAAATTTAAAACATTAAAACCGAAGAAAAAAACAAAAGATTCAAACCAAATATTAAAAAAGTTAAAGATTACTAAAAAAACAAAGACTCAAAGTAAACGTGAGACAAATAATATGTCATTAAAAATTAAAAAGAACACTCTACCGTAAAAGCAGGGTATCTCAATTGTGAAGAATACTTAATACCTAATCATATATGTAGAAAATAATAGCAGAAGAGGAGCAATCCAGGAGAAACCCTAGGGTCATAGGACTCATCATAGATTCATAGCTATCTCAAAAGAACAAATTCATCAATTAAGCAGCCACTGAATTGAAAAAGATGCACAAACAGCTAAAAGACATTTTAGAAGGTTATTAAAATCAGATAAAGCCGTCTCAAAATGCACCATCTACTCAAAATGAGAAATATATGAACTAATTTATCATATAATGCATCAACTCGACATGTATCTAATTTTTTCAGCATAAATTAAAAAAAATAATAATAAAAAATAAAAACAAAAAAATAGAAGAACCATCAACACGCAACAGAAATTAGTAATGAGAAGTATTAGCCAATAGAAATTGTATTGCTGACATTAAAGAAGACGAATAAGTTACTAATGATATATTGGAATTATGATTTTTGCAGCAAGAACACATAATGTTTAAAATAGAAGAAAAACAAAGATGTGAGGCCGTATTTGTTATGTTTCTATTCCCTCTAGACATGATATTCAAGAAGGTACATCCTCTTGAAAGCACAATCACTTGGATATGCTTTTAAATTTTTGAGGGCTAGGTAATTAAAACACCTTTTTTCAAAAAATTTCAGATCCTAATCTTCTGGTTCGGCCTGTATGGTGGCGGAGGGTCACCGGTCATCATCTCCTAATGACCGGAATACCTCAAATCTCCATTCTACTAGGTTTCCCTATGATTCTAATCATGGTGGATCCAAAGGTAGAAATTATAGGAACCAGGAATTTGTGATCAAACAAGGACCTTTGGTTATACCGAAGGTCGGTTTCTTCCAAACCACAATGTTGTTTCAGTGCTTGGCAAAGGCAAAGAACCTTTGGAAAGTTTGGGAAAGAAGATTCCGGCAATTCCTTCCTCCCCATTGAAGAATTGGTTGGCTGGTGCGACGAATGATTCGGAGGCATCATCTTCCATTGGTTGTAAGTTGAAGGTAAACATATTTTTAAACTTACCCTCTGTTGAGGCAAAAAAACATGAGTTTTTGAATTCGAATTTGATGAAATCTAAGGAGGATGAAGGGTTGATTTCTTGTGTTGGAAATCAAATAGCAGTTGATCTGGATATCATACCGAATAATGAAAATTTAAATTCGGTAAATGTTTGGTCTAAGAATGCATGTAACTACTAATTCAATTCATCCTAATTTGGAAGAAAATGATGATTCAGATGTAGTTAAACTTGACATGAATAAGGTTGCTGAAAATGTTAAATTGCTTCAAAAATCTCTTGTAGTGAAGGTGTTTGGGAAAGGAATTCCGCTTTCTCTTTATAGCATTGAATTAAGGCATCGATGGGATAAATTTGGGAAGTTTCATATTACCTCATTGGGACTTGAATGCATTTTGTGTTCATTTCATTCTCCTCAGATTATGGAAGAAGTATTGAGTGGAGGTCCATGGTATGTGGGAGGGCACATAACAGGAATGGATAAATGAACACCTCAATTTTCCCCTTCTTCATTGAAAGGGCTATCATCATCAATTTGGATTCGCTTACATCATTTGCCTCTACATTGTTGGGATGAGACTAATGTCACCAAAATTGTCTCAAAGATAGGAGTTCCTTTGTTGTTGGATGAGAAAATGTTCAAATGGGGAAGGCTTGAATTTGCTAGAGAACGTGTATGAATTAATCTAGACTCCAAGTTACCTCATGGAGTTTGGATTGAAGGGTTATACAGAAAATTTTTTCAGAAAATTGAATATGAGGAAATATCCTCTTTTTGTTTCAATTGTAGAAAAATAGGTCAAAAAATTGAGACATGTACAAAAGTTGATAAAGGAGTGGGTAATAAAGTTTTAGATGATGCTCAGGAAATCAATTTAGTGAATTAAAAAATGCTTGGATCAGTTTTTTGATATGAAATCTAAGAGACAAATTTGATAATGTAAATCCACAAAATTCTCATGGTCCTTAAATTCATGTGAAGTTTAAGAGGAATAGAAGATTTCAAAAGAAGAAATCTCAGGTTTCAGCTGAGATGAAGATTCCTGAAGATAGCTTGGCACCAGTTGAAGAGCAATCTGAGAATTACAAGTTTTTGCTGAAGAATTGGTTCGAATGGATGGTGAAGAACATGAATTGCTAGCCAAAGATAACGGGATAGATCCAGATTTTCAAGGCTTGGTGATAGAAGATAAAATTACAGATTCTGGTTTGGTTAGTGTTGAACCGGAACAACTAGAAGATGGTGAAATAAATCCAAGTACTGAGTATGCTGGAATGGGAGAAAATTTACATGATTGTTCTACTATTCTAGAACAAGTTGAGGTAGACAAAATGGAGGTTCTCGATACTAAGAGTGTTGAAAACAAAGATCCAAATTCTGGTATTGAAGAACTTACTCTGGTTGATCATTTGAAGTGCAAGGAGCATGAGAAGGAGATTGAAGTATTGGCTGGATTGCAAAGTTATGTCGCTCCTTTGGCTAAGGGAAACAAAGTGAAGAGTAATAAAGCCGTGATTGAGGATGGGAAAATATTTATTCCTTCCAAAATCAGGGGATCTGAAGATAAAGTTTAATAAAGATTTGAATGTGTTTGGTGCAATCAAAGGGAGTCTAAGAAGAAGGAAGTTGGGTATTATTGGTAATAGTGATAGACCCACTTCATCATCTGCCTCATGATATTGTTATAGATACGTTTGAAGGAATCCAAGGTTGGCTTGTGGATTGGGTAAAGATGTTGAAGATTGCGAATAACAGAATTTGTGGAGATGTGAAGATTGATGTTTCCTTCTTAGCGGATGATTATGGTTTTCATTTATTTTTATGTTCTTTGTTTAGTTTTCTTGTTTTTTCTAGTTTTAATTTGAGCATAAGTTTGAATTTGGAAAGGGGAGCTAGATTAATGGAACCTAAGCATCTCTCTATTTTTTATTTTCTACCTAATCGGGAATTCTAGAATACTAATCAACCTTTTGGGTTGTTTAATCTTTGGTATCCCCTCCACCCCAATTGGTTTAAAATGATAAGTAGAGGATCTTATTTTTATTATGATAATTATTTTTTTCTAAATTTCTTCTCTATGCTTAAATTACTTCTAATAAAGACTTCCTTTCTCTTTGAAAGGATTGCCTAGTTTTTACTTTGTAATAGCTTCTTTTTATTTTAATGATATATGCATCTTTAAAAAAAAAAAAAGACATGATATTAAAATCAACATACAAAGCGTAGAAAACATTTCCTTTCATCCATTCCCAATGAGGCTTTGCTTTCTGACATTTGAGTAATAGGGGCTCTCATAAAGAAAAAAAAACAAGCAGCCTAAATCACCTTTTATGAAAGGCATTGGATAAAAGTTTAAATTAATGGTACCAAAAGTGCAAATTTGGGGCAGAATGACATAT